CCATATAAGAGAAATAATCCAACATATATTATATCCAAAATAAAAAATTCGAATTTTTACCTAAATTTGATGGTGAATTCTTGAATTAATTTTGAATCACGAACATTCAGCTCTTTGGATTAGGAGCTTCCAACTTTTAATTCCAAGAAAAGTGTGCTCAAAACCTCTAAGTTCTCTATAATATTCTCCAAAGTTGATATTACATTGGTGGGGACACCTTTTTTTTATTGAATCAAAAAATTAATTCTTGGACTGGACAAGTGAATAAAGCAAGAAAAATAATTTTTCTTTCCTTTTTTTTTTCTCTACAAATTTGAACACTACGGAATTATTGTATTATGCTTTGTTGTAGAATCTCTAGGTTAAGTCCAGTCTCTATTTATAAAGATAAAAAGGTTTTAATCCATGTACAATAAGGGTTCCAAATAAAGTCCAAATAAGATTTTTAATTAATGTCCAAATCCAACTGGGTCATATTTAATTACATGTGGAGTCCTAAAACTTCAATTACAATTACAACTAAGTTTATAAATTTCATAACAATTACAATTAACTCAAAAAAATTATTATAATTACAATTAAGCTCAAACTTTTATAATAATTGCAATTAAGTTCCAACACTTTATATAGATACCGCAGGGACCTGATCAAACATATGTTATTCAAGCTCCAATAATTAGATCATATCTAGTCGACTCTAGATCAACCAATTTTATTTGTTAGTCTTTGTTTTTTCCACTAAAGGCAAAAGGCTGAACTCTCGAAATATTTAAGATTACAGAAACTAATGAATCTCTAATACTTTCCTCTTACCTATACTATATATGTATTTTACCATCGTCCGAGATTCAATAATTATGTACGAGTATAAATGATTGTTTTGTCCTTCTAATTATTCTCACTAACTTAGGTATCATTTTCTTCAATGGTCCTATGAATTAATCACAAATGGCAAAGTTTAGCCGTCGTTAAACATTGAGATCAAGTTTTAACCGTTCAACATAAAATAATTAAATAGTCACTCTACCCAATTTTCAAGGTGATGGTTCCCGACACGAATTCATATTTTTTACATTGCTCATTCTCAACCTTCCAACTCATCGAAATATTTAACCAATTAAATTGATCTCACCCATTGGTAAATTAAAGAACTATTAAAATCATGAAAAAATATACATAACACAATCAATGGATTTAGATGAAATATACGGAGATCAAGTAAAATTTAATTATCCGCACGATCATGCTTTAAAATTAAACTCGACACACAATCCGTTCAATACACTTCAAGTGTACTTGTATCACATTTACCTACTTATTTAATAAGGACAAATCACAAATCCGAATAGTGAATCCGCTATAACCTTCCAGTACAAAACCCTTATATATAGGTGTGAACAAATTATTTATGATCAAAATATAAGTTGTATCACACCGCAATTCTCAATACAAGGATCCAACTTATATTCTCAAAACTGATCACATGTACTTCAATTCGTATGCCCAATAATAAATAAATGCAATAAACTAAATAAACAAAATGTCATATAACACAACAAATTTCTCACATGCTGTAGAATATGAGTCATATTTTTTAACCCTATACTTTGTACTGTAGACGTCCATCGAAAACCTTGGTCGATAGACTTTTGGTAAATAGATCCGCGAGGTTATTCCCAGTAGCAATCTTACTGACAATCGCATAGTCTTACTATCTCTTTAGTTCTTTAGCATTTGTCACCGTTCCACTGTTATCACAGTACAGTGACAATGGCTATGCAGATGTAGGCACTACCTCGATGTTTGCTACGAACTTTTTGAGCCACATCACTTCTTTAACGGCTTCACAAGTTGCGACATACTAGCCTTCATAGTGGAATCGGCCAGTGTTATTAAAATCGGCCTAGCCCAGTCGGCCGACCCGATAAACCAGTGACACAGACCCTATTCCGAGCCAGGCAAGCTCATACTATGTAAATGCAAGTGGCCCAGTCAAAAATCAGATTTGATAGGGTCAATTAGTCGGTTTTATATAATCATCGGGCCGGTTGGCTCGGTTCATCCCGATTGATATTTTTTAATCAAATTTCAAAACTCTGTTGTCCTTTTGTGTAATAAACAATATTTAACCTATGAAAATTTTTCGTATTTTGAAAATAATTTTAATAAAATTAGTCCAATGTTTTAATTCATTTTGTAATATCAAATAATTATTTATTTGAAAATTTTAATTTTAACTAAA